ACCGCTCACCTAACCATCCAACCAACCAAGCAACCAGCCACACAACCACCCATCCATCCGCTCAACCACCCAACCAACCACCTAACCCAACCGCCCAACCACCCAACCACCCAACCACCCAACCACCCAACCACCCAACCACCCAACGTACCACTGTTCGTTATTATTATTTTTATTATTCGCAGCCGCGAGACTCGACTCATTGTGTCCGTCCCTTATCGTACGCATTGTGTTGTTGTCATCTTTCCAGTGCCGTCGGTCAGCCATTAGGACTGTTCATAATTGTCAAGTTCACTTATTCGATCATGCGACACAACATGGCCGACGTAGTTGTTGTTGTGAAAGAGGTTGTGGATGGAAAGGAAATCGTCGTGAGAGAGACAGTGTGTGAGCGTGATACTGAGAACGAAAGAGACTTTGAATACTGGGAAGGGGTTGTCGCCACGAAAACACGTGTGTACTACGCGTTCATCGATGACACCCTCGCTTTGAGGGTCGTGGCGGGGCTGGGGTACGACGCCCATGATTGCCTTGATGAGGTTGTAATGCACGCAAAAAAACTTTCGGATGTCGTTCCCGACACCTGCGAACCCCCAGACTTCGATATGATTGGTCATTTGCTAAGGCGCGTCGTGTCAGTCGTTGCGGTCGAGCATGTGGAAACGTTAGCAAGCAACGCATGGTATTTCTCCAAACTCGACCGCCTGCTGCAACGCCGTAGTTTTCTCCACGGATATGTGCGCAGTGTGTTGCCAAAGAACGGTTGCGGACAACAGTGCGAAAGTGTCAACGAACCATCGTCCCGCTCGTCTCATGCGTAGCCTGAAACAGGTGGGTTGAGGAACAAAATCCTAAAGGTTTTCAACATTCGTCAGTGTTCGGGACCGCGACTACCCGCTCCTCCCATATATATGTATAAAGGGCGTTCCCCTTCCCCGTACGATACATGTAGAGCATCATGTTTGCGTTATTCTTTGTTCGATCGTTGGGTTTATAACTTATGGTGTCGCTTTCTGTGAATTGCAGCAGTTTCCATACGCCATACGAAAGAAGCGACGATGCCTTGCGCGCCAATGATTTTCCGATGTTACCACACCACGAAACTGACAGGCGGCGACACCGTATACTATTACGAATCAATGACTCCCGTAACAGATCCTATCGACGATGCAGTGGGGTACCGCAATCGAGACAAGATGGTGGATCGTCATTTCGTTGTCAGCGTCGAGGAGGACCGAGTCGTCAGACTCACTACTGAGACTTATATTCGTTACCACGCCATCGAACACGTTCGCGTGCTAATGTCTAAGCCGACTACGTATTTCAGTACCTTTGTTCTCATACCGGTCGACGGTGATTTGATGTATGATATCGTCTACCCCCTCGTGCATCGCATACTATACACACACTACGGGACGGTCGCTCCGGACGTCTGGCGCCTGGTCGTGTCACCGCCCTATTTTGTGTCCAATGGCGAGGATTTCTCTGCCATGTACTATCCTTGTTGTGGGATCCGACGATGAGTACCATTTGTTTTTTTTGCTATATTCCTTTCTTGTTGGAGAGAGAGAAACTCATGGTTTCAATGATTGTACATTTTGTGTATACATATGCAATCGTCATCTCCCATGTGTTTGTTAAATGTTTTCGTTTTTTTTTTCCAGCTGCTTTGTATTTTAAATTTTGTTTTTTTTTTCGTTATGTGGAGGTGCAGTACTAAGGTAATCGGTGTCCGTAATGTTCTGTTTTGTAGATTTCTAAAAAATAACACATAAGCGACAGACCAATATTCACCCTTTCACAGACATGGACCGCCGATGACGCACGACTGGCATGAGGGCCGACGAAGTCGTATTTGGAAATGGGACAGATACTAATCCTTTCCGCGACCAGGAGCTGACAGTCGCCGAGATTAGGAGTCGGTGGCCGGGGCCTGCAGCGCTTTTGGAAGAGACACTGACTTTTGTTGGGCTGGAGGAGCATCTGCAACAGTGCATGAATATGCTTATTGGTGGTACAAATGTCGAACCAAAGCAGAATCGTTACCATGGATATGTTGTTTTTTCTCGGCTGTGCGGGTTCGTCGTTTTCCGACAGAGATTGCTAGATGAGTTCCAGACGGCAATGCGGGAACGATGGTCAGATACAATCATTTGAGGTTTTGAACTACGACAATGTGATCCTCCTGAAAACGCGCGCCCACGTGGACGTGCACGGCAGTAAATGCTTCACGACAAGATAGATAGATAGATAGATAGATAGATAGATAGA